GGTATTCCACTTGGGGAAGAGTCACATTGTATGGATGTAATTTCCAATTAGTGCTTGTTGGATGCATATCTTCTGCAATTACATGAAGGTGTTTACTTTTTAACCTGGATTTTGGTATTTCTGGTAGTTTTCTTGGAGTTTAAAAAAGTTGAAAGATAGAACTATGGTGTGGAAGGGATTATGTTTATAGAGGGAGAACATCGATACTGTTCAAGTAACAATTTAAATTTAGATTATGTGTTGTGCTGAATCTTGAGATACATTTTTATTCATGGAGAGCTAATTTCTAAGATTTTAAAGGATATCAAGTGAAATCCTGTGCACTGTGCTGCACCAGTGGTCCTTGTTAGCTTATTGTTCTTTGGTGTTAATTCCACTGTTGTGTCTTTTGAAGAGATTTGAGATAGTTCTTTAAATGAAGACAGCATTGACTATTGCAGATAAGAGATGATGCAATTTAATGTGCCTACATTAATAGTACAAGAAGAAGAAAGCTTATAAAGATGCTTCTTACTAACCTGAAAGAATAATCAACCTGAAAAGACTTGGAACAAGCAAGACATGAGTAACTGGATGAGAGTAGGAGGGAGGAGAATGGAAGGAAATAGCATCTAACATCAGAAAATGTTAGGATAAACTGAGGGTGTATAAAAGTTGAGTTGTATAATAATAGAAGGTTCTTAAGACAAAGAAGGAAGTGGTATACACAGCTTCTCTTTTACATGGAGAGGATTACTTTAGGAGTAATCCAAGCAGGACCCAAAATTGGATGCATTGCATATGTTTATTATGAATCCAGAGACAGTGGATGATAGGAATGTGGTTATAGAAGAGGTAGCTATCACATGTGAATCAATACAGAGGGAGATACAGCAGAAACATGTGTGTGGAACATAGCTCCAGAAATCTTCAAGACCTGGTTTGTGATGCTACAGGCTTGTGATGCTACAGGCCTGTTGTTATTCTTCTAGGTGAAGTTGTTGACAGATAACAGTTGAAGTTATTGCAAGATGAGAGAACAGCAAGTCTTACATGCTACTTGAAGGACAAAGTGTAATAAGTACAGCCTTTCAGAGGCAAAAAACCTAATTGTTTTTAGGGTGGAACAGTTACTTTCTAGAAAATATATTATTGTCTGTGGTCAAAAGAGACTCTTGAGGACTCAAGAATATTTCTAGTTCAGCACTCCTTTTTTGCAGCAGCTTGGAAATGTACTGAACTTTCCATGATTCAGGTAGGTTCTGCTGGTAGAATAGGATCAGGTTAGTAGCTTGCTTACACTGAGTCTGCAGTTAGTCAAGTGAAGCAGGTTTCCTATCATGGGCAACTCTGCAGTGCTGGACCTGGCAGTTCTTGGACCTGCCAAGAGAAAGGAAGCTGTTAACCTGGAACTCCCCTGAGGTAAAGGTTTGGAGGAAGTGCTTGGGTGTGGTGTTGTCAGTAATCTTCTGTTGCCTGTGTTCAGATCCTTATCTGCTCTCTACCATTTATGTGGGGAACCAGAATTCAGGGCTGTTGAATGGAATAGGTTTTGTTTGGTTTTGCAGAATTCTAATAGCGTAATTAAGGAGATGTTATGTTAATTTAGCAGATACTCAGCTACTTCTTTTTTGCCTGCTTCAGATTTTGAATAGGTGATACTTATCTGAAAATGCTCCTTACTGGTCATTGGGACAGCTGACTTGTGGAGTGACCTGTTAAAACTTTGCTAAAGACCATAATTATGGATGTAGCTTGAGCCAAATCACTTGCACTTAATTTTTTTCTTTGAAAATAAGAGCTATTTTTTCCCAGAGTCACCTTAAAGCACTAGAGGTTTCCATCTGGTCACACTGTAACTTGTGTGTCAGGTGTTGCAGCAGAAATCCTGATGGACTTAGGATTTTGCTCATATCTTTTTGTTCAAAATGTTGGGGCTGTCAGCTGTATGTTTTAGGCAGTGCTTATATTCATGAACCCCAAGTCCACAGGGGAGTTAGGCTAGCTAATACCCTCAGGATATTAGAAAGATCAGATAACTAGTGCTTTGTGTGCTACTTGTCGGGGATGTACTCTTGAGTCAAAGCCCATTTCATGGTCACATCTACACAGCTAGCATGGATGCTACTGCTGTAGCAACTGTAGGATTTACATCATGCACCATGAAGACCAAGTTGTTTGAGTTCAGAATCTGAGTTAGGCTAGCTAATACCCTCAGGATATTAGAAAGATCAGATAACTAGTGCTTTGTGTGCTACTTGTCGGGGATGTACTCTTGAGTCAAAGCCCATTTCATGGTCACATCTACACAGCTAGCATGGATGCTACTGCTGTAGCAACTGTAGGATTTACATCATGCACCATGAAGACCAAGTTGTTTGAGTTCAGAATCTGTTTTGCCAAAGTACCTTTTTCTTTTAAAGAAAGTCTTACTATTTCAGTCAAAACCATAGCATTATAATAAAAATATGTATCCTAGGTTGCACAGAGGACCAAGGACCTAGGAAAGGCTTTTCGTTTTTTCTTTGTCTGAAGTGACAAGATCTTGAAGCAACCAAATATTCCCTGGCCAGGTAGATTAAGTTACCTATTACAAAGGCACAAAGAAGTTTCAGACAAATCTGAGTAATTTTTGCTTATGGTGTTGCAGAAAGAAAGCCCTTGTACTTTCATTTTAGCAGTCATCAGGGTTGTAACAATCTGCTGTAATAACTGAAGTTTTGTAAAGTTGGATTTTCTATCTTCTGTAGAGGCCTCCTTCAGCAAGAAGCCTTGCAGTCAGTGATCTATAAAAAGCCATGCTTTTTCAAACATATAGTCTTAAGGGCTGGAATTTTGGACTTTTTGTTTCCCCTTAATGTTCACTGCTCATTATTTTCCATGAGTCACCGAGATGTGAGAGATGTTTGACTGTAGAATGGAAAATTTCTTGCCTGGTAACTTTTTTTTTAGTATAACAGCAGCATCTTCTTCAGTTTTACTTCCTGTAGTTTAGCAACCAAGAAAAATGTCAACTTTGTACATTCCTTTTTGTAAACTCTAGCCAGGACATAGATTACCTGATTGGTAGTAGAGGAGTACTCTAATCTATGGTCTTGAAAGTTTGATGCAACATTAGATGGCTTTTCTAAGAGATGGCTGAGGAGGAGGATACATTGTGGTGCTAAGCTACCTCTGAAATTGTAAAGAAGTGGAAAGAATCTGATGGACCATACAATAATAAGAGATACAGCCAGCAGGAAAAAACACTAGCAAGAAATTTTGACTGGCTTTAATGAGTACCTTCAGCTAATAGCTACCTTTAACTAATAGCTTGCACACGTTGCTGTCTTTATTTCCTTCAAAGCAGTACATTTGAAATCCAGATTGTCGTACTGTAAGGATGGTTGCTTGATTTGAAACTTTCCATCTGCACTGACCCTTTTTCATGTTAGTAGTTTTCTTTGCTGTGTTGTTAAAGAACCAGATACAGAACTGAAAAAAAAACCAGTTTAAACCAGTTATTATCTACAGTGTCTTACTTGTATGATAATCTATAATTGTCTTGTTTTGACATTACTAGGAAAGTTGATTTGTTAGCAAAGCTTCTTGCATTGCAAGTTAAAATTCATCAATAATCTTCTGTTTTAAAAAAGGTGCTGTCTGCTGCATCTTCCACTTGCATTCTTGTGCTTTTAGTGATTTAAAAATAGTATCTCACTTTCACATGTGAATTCTACCCTAAGAGACTACAGCACAAGTCACTTAATTGAAATTACTGGCTACATTGTAATTATAGTATTTTTATATTCTGTGTACCAGATAAAGTGCAGCTTTTATGTTGCATATTGAGTTTCAGAACTTAGCAGAAGTAGAGAAGTCTGCATCTGTTAGGCTGTATATATATGCCCTGGCATAGTGGACACTTGGAAGACTTGAGTTCTGGTCTTTGGTGGTACTGTGATATTTGGGAGATCATAAAAACAGGTGTGGAACCTTTGATTAAAGGTCTGTGTAAATGTTACTTCATCCCTGCAACATTTAATATAGACAGTTACTTCATCTTCTCATTCTGTTCTCTTCTGTAAAATTAGGACAGTTACAGAGGTATATGGTATATGATTTAGGCATCAGCTGAAAAGACACTCGATTTGAGGTAGTTTAAATAAATTATATTCTCAAAATAGCCTATGTAATAGCTACAGTATTCACTTTTTAATGCATTTAATACATTAGAATGTCTTTTCTAATTTGCTTGAGGGAGGATCAAATCATGGAAGAATATAGCTCTCATTGTGGCAGCCTTCAAATTGTGACTGCATAGCAAATGGAAAAGAAAACCAACACAAAACACAATCAACCAAAACCAAAATCACCAACAAAATTACCCCAATGTGAAAATGAAAATTATAAGATTAATTGCATACAAATTCTCTGCAAATTTCATATGTAATCTCCTGTCCTTGTATAATTATTCTCAGTACTGGTCATTGCTTACTTTATAGTTGAATTTTTTAAGAGACTTCTCAGTTCTTAGGTCATCTTGTGTATAGTAGTGTTCTTAAAAATTAGTGAGTTGTCTGAAGTGGTTTGTTGTATTAATATGAATAAAAATAGTAATAAAATGAAGTTGATCCATGAAGATAGGTATTTCTGTAGTGGATAGTGCTGTCTGGATATCTAGCATTCTGAGGATGTGTAACTGAGCAATGTAATTCCAAGTCAATGCTTTTGCATGGGTCTGTACTCAGAGAAAATTATGTATTTTTTTTTCCTGACTGTTTATTCAGGGATTTGATACGCAAAGATTCGGCGTAGGGTTTTGAAAAAGATGCAGGCGTCACAGGAAACCATAGAGTTGTGCAGGAAAGATATTCAAGTAAATAATGGTCTTGAAATAGTCTTATTATGCAACCTGAATTTGTCTGAAGCCCCAATTGTTAGTTGTTGTTGTATTCATTTACTTTTCAATATTTAACTCTTAACTGTGATATCTCTCTGTAAAAATTACTTTGTTCCTAATGTTTAAAATCTGTTTCCAGGCTGCAAGCTGCTATATAAACAAGACTTTGCAAGACGGTTAGGACTGAGATGTGTTACTTGTAATTACTGCTCACAGCTGTGCAAAAAGGGAGCAACTAAGGAACTTGATGGTGTAGTGAGAGATTTCTGCAGTGAAGAGTGCTGTAAAAAATTTCAGGACTGGTACTACAAGGCAAGTAACTCAGAATTTTTGATGAGAGCTCCACAGTTGAAAAAACCAAAAATGCACATGTGAGGATATCTCAAGGACTGTGCAGCAAATACGGCTTGCTTCAGCAAAGCATTTGCTATACCATAAGCAAATGTATTAATTTAATCATTTGAGTTTTTGTAGATCTTAGAGCAGCATTTCTGTCATCTGATTTTATTAATTCATTTGGCAAGGAAGTCTTGAGTTACAGAAAAACAAAAAACTACTCTGTATAATTGTTACTTTACAGTTCCAATTTTTTCTCAATTGATACCATGTTTTTCTTGTCAAAACTTCTTAAATGCGTATTCTGAATGTTGAAAGCACTTGTTAGTAGCAGCTGGATGATACCTTGAGTTGACTGATGATAAACTAGGTTAGCAGTAAAGTTTCCCTTGTTCCTGTTTTTGCCTCCTTTTTTGCCTTTTCCCTCCTCCCACAGTTTGAACTGCAGAGCCTTTGATTGTTCAGTATTTCCCAGTGGAAAGGATGCCAAAGGGGAAAGCAAGACCAAATGGATTTCTAACAAAAGTTAAAGTCAAACAGATGGCATCTATTTTAAAAATCTCTGGAAGCTTAACTACCTTGTGAAGCACAACCAGCAAAGAGTTCACATTAAGAGGTTTTGTGTTTACATTTTTGAAAGAAAAGGATGAAATTGGACTGGATTTAACCAGCAACTAGCACCATGGATAAAATATTTGATCCCTGGTGTGAACATCCTGGAAAGCTACACTGATAATACCAAAACAAGAACTACACTTGTGGATGCAGTTGCAAAACAGACAGTACAAAATTCATCACTGTACCAAACCCCTTCACACAGCCTGGAAGGCAATTAAAAGCTTGAGTGTTAGAGGGCTAGATACAAGTCCTGTAATTCAAGATGATCTGCCTACCATAAAAGAACTGAATATGAAGACGTATCTGATGTTTTGGAATGGCTAGTTCCAGAAATGTTACAGCCAAACAATGTAAATTCTTTATTTTGAATAATGTATGTAGGGTCCTATTAGACACTCCTGAAAGAAAACTACTGGAGATCACAATATGTTTCTTTAGTCTTACATGAAAATAGGGTGACAAAGCTTGGCTGCGAAGTTCTTAACTAAAATGTTACCTTCATGCAATAATTTTTAATATATACCATAAAACTTGGGGTATGGGGTGAAATTTATCCCTGCATAAAATGTGCCTTCCAATAGAGAATTTAATAAACCTTTAGTGTGCTTTAGAAATCTTCTGGTGATTCAGCAAAGAATATAGTCTGGGGGTGTGCATACCAAAGTAGTTTCACGTACATAAGCTTGTGTGGAAGCTTGTACTGTGATTCAGCTTTGAGAACCACTTGAAAACTTGGACTTAAGGTTATCCTGATTCATGAGATAAGCTAATAACTTAATTGACCCATGAAGTCTGCTTAAGAAGTGCTGTTGGTACTGTGATGCAGGAAGGTCAGATATGATGTTGTGAAAAGGCAATTCAGTTTAAAGAAATACAAGGGTAACTAGTGACTTTTGCTACTTTTGCTGATATTGAAGAGTTAGATATTTCTACTTGTTGAATCTTACACTGGCTAGTAGAACTAGTGTTACAGGATGAAGAACTGTTGCTTGTAATTTTTTTTAAGTACTTCTTGAAGCCTTTATGTAATTGGGTTCTGGTTATGAAAGCTTGGGATTTATTACATGGGGAAAGACATACAATAGGAACTTGTGTGTCTTGCTAAAATTGTCTTTATTTTATTTTTCCCGTTTATATCCTTGCTGGTAATATCTCCCTCTTTTATAAAAGTCACTCCAGATGTTTTAGATTTGATAGAGCATTGTTAGCTCATATTCTTACCTAGCCATAAATAGATGATGATCAAAATATAGGAAGACAGAATAGGTATAGACCCCTCCCTGGATTTGTACTTCATTAGCTGTTTTGTCTATTAGCTTCTTAAAAGAATAGTTAAATATGTATGAGCTTCGTCTCATTTATACAATATCCAGTGTTATTTTGGAGTTTCAATGAATGTATTCATTAGGAGAAATAAGTAGTAATAATCTAGTAATGTTTTAACACCATCATTGTGTTCGTTAAACAAGTGTTTGTCTCCATCTTCTTTGTCTACTTTTTTTTATGAACACATCTTTCTCATGTAGTATTATCTGAAAAACATTGTAACTTTTAGAAATAATTAAGTATTGTGGGAGAACTTCCCTGAATGCCAAAATTCTCTTCTCAGAAAGCCAGAAGAAGTTAGCAATGGTAGAAGCACAACAACTGTTATCTAGCAGACTTATCTAGAAGTGTTCTTTAAACCTAATATGAGGCACTGGAATGTAAAAGAATAGTTCAGTCCTAATCATCTGCCAGGAGACAGCTACAATTACCAGTTGATACCAAGTTCTAAGGAAATTTCTACAGCATGGTGCCCATGCACCTTTAAGACAGGAGGTGAAGTTTTTGGTGTCTTGAAGCTAGTTAGCTCCCCTAGTTACTAGAGTTCCTCCCATAAACTTGTATGCAATGGTTTGAATGTTAGTCTGAAAAGTGCCTGAGAAATGTCAATATAAATATTTTAGTAGCGTGATGTTTGGTGACAGTTTCAATCATTTGATGTTACACTAGAGCATTAAAAGTACCTTGAAGAAGAATATACAGATCTGAGAACAGATCAGAAGTCTGTTTCTTTAAATATACACTGAGAAACATTGCTGAAAGTATTGCAGCTGAAGTGCACACAGGTCATTTGAGGCTGCAGTGGAGAATTGGTTAGACTCCACATGCAGTGATGACTGTGTATTCAGTGGTCAGGTGTCTTGAGCAAAGACTGAGTAGGAGGTGGGGAACTACAGTCCGAGGCATAGAAAAATTTTACTGTGGCTGGTGAGCTCAGATAGCAATGATTGTCAGCAGTGGTAAAATTTGAAACTGGAGGCAGTGTTAATCAAAATGGTAAAGGCTGCAAGACAGCCTTGTGGAATTTTTCTTGTCTGAATTCAGCCATTGTGTAGTTAGGCATCTCAATTTCCAGTAAGAACTTTCTCAAAACAGTTGATCTCCTTTCTCTTACAATCACTCACTCTCTGGAAACATCTCTCACTTCCTATTTATTGCAGTTGAAGTTGGAATAGACAGGTAAGACCAGGTCAAGATAATACCAGTCCAAACCATTGGAGAACATTTAGGAACAAGTGATGGAAGGATTAAAAATGTAAATAAAATATGAAAACTTTGTTCTTTAACCCAAATTTGAGGCAAACATCAGTGATTTATACTAATCACTTTGCCCGTTTGAACACGTTGAAGAAGTGGGAAAAGAAATGTACCAAAAAGCAGGTCATGAGTGGCAAAGGACTTAGCTGCAGTTGGAGCACAGCATGTATAGATGGACTTCTTTGAAACACAGATAAAGCAGACTTGAAGGCAAGTATTTTGGAGATACAATTAAGTATCAGTACCAGTATCCCAAATGAAAACAAATGGAAAGGGGAATGAAGTGAAAAGCAGAAAAATAGAATGTCATGAAAATCATTCATTCCCTTTTGCTTTCAATAAATTTCACAGTCAGGGAAGTGGCTAAGCAAGCAGGTAGCAGGAAACTTCAGTGCTTGGAAGGGTGTATAGTACTGACTGTAAGCCTGATTATGGAAATATTAGAATTATGGTGTAGCAAATGTAGGGATAAGAAGTGAAGCATCATTATACAGGAATCTCAGTCTTACTAAGGCATAGTAACTTCCATGTGGAAGCAAACTAAATTTTTGTTCACCTAAATAACTTAGTAGCAACCCAGGAGACAAACTAATAACACTTATTCAAAGACCTAAGTGGAAAAGCAAACCAGGAGAGATAGAAAACAGTTGCAGGAATCATGGAATAGTTTGGCTTGGAAATGACCTTTAACACCCATCTAGTCCAATTCCCTGGCAATAAGCAAGGACATCTTCAACAAGATCAAGTTGCTCAGAGCCCCAACCAACCAGACTTTGATTGGGGTATCTACAACCTCTCTGGGCAACCTGTTCCAGTGTTTCACCACCCTCACTCATAAAAGCTTCTTTCTTACATCTTATCTAAACTGACCCTCCTTCAATTTAAAACTATTACTCCTTGTCCTGTCTTCCTGTAGGAAGGCTGTAGTTGCTGGATTTGACAAGATTTGACCACTTTTTCTTTCTTTGAAGGAGAGAGAGCAGAAAGTGGTGCTTTGATAGTCAAGCAGTGTGAAGCAGGTCAGAATAGATGGGCTTTTCTGTACGTGGGTCAGCTGTCATTCTTAATCAGTGTTAGGTGAGCTTGAGATTTAAAATTAGAGTGAATTATACATATTTTTTCCTACTGATATTTCAGTCTTTTGGAGACTTTGGAAGATGCTTTTGCATTAAAGGTGTGAATTCACAGTTTCCCTGAACTGATAAATCTAGACTATTTTGGCAACACCCTACACTTCATCTCCTTACCCACTCCCTTCCAAGAATACAACTCACTTGCTCTTTTGTCCCACTGAGATCTCTGCTGCAAAACAAACTGTGGATCAGCATCAGCAGAAAGTCCAAATGACAAATATAACAAAAAATTGAGGGAGGATGGGGATTACGCAGTGCTGTGAGGTCTCTGACCTTGTGTGCCCTGCAGGTGTGTAAGTACTACTGCTGACACCTGCACAGAGGAGGGGAAGAGAAATACCTGCCCTTCTAGGAGCATCTGGCACTTAGTGTGAGGTGATCCTGAAGCTGCAGCTTTAATTGCTCCCAGTTTAAAGCTGGTTGTATTGCTGGAATTGAGTCTCTCTATGTATCATCTTTAAATACTTGAAAATTACAGCTGAGAGCATAATTTCCTACGTTGCCAGAGGATGGTGCCAGACTGCTCAAAGTACAGAGAAGGAACTAAGTATTTAACTGTTTTTAAGTTTGAACTAATTGGCTTGTTCATCCTTTTTTGGAGTCACGAAAACTACAGTTGGACTTCTGTTTTGTTTTATTTTTTAAGCCATCAGAGCCTTGTGCATATCTGCAATGTTGTGTATGGTTTTACGTATTAGTGTTTTATGTTGTGTATTATTATAACTTCCCTCTTCCTCTCCTGGCTGTATTGTTAGGTTGACTTATTTTGGGTTCTTGAGCATCTGTAAAGCTTTTATTTTTTGAAGGTCTGCTTTAGGATGGAGGTTGCAAGCAACGTCAAGGCAAGCTGTAGTGCAAACAATTATTTGCTTACTTGAAGATCTGAAACTGGGGCTCTCACTGTTCAGATAATAATTTACAGCATGGCAGATTAAATGCAATGGAATCTATTTTGGAGCAAAACAGTGTCTTAGTGATGCCACATGAAAATACCATCTAGGCTGGTGAAAGATACATTATTTACATGTTTAAGTTTCAAGTTACATGCTAATTAGATTTTGGGGTGCCCTCTATAGTTTGAGAGCAAGTGTTACTTAAAAATCATACAGAAACTTTAGTGTAAATAGTTTTTATATCTTAATTATTTTAGTAATTCGGCAGCAATTTTAGATTCCCCTTCTCCAGATCACCAAAGGGCTCTTATTTGATACTTGGAGAGATGATCCTGTTGGTGACTTAAAACAAAAAAACCACCAAACTTTGGAGAGGAAAAACACAACTCTTTGTCCTCAGTTCAGTGGAGTTATTAAGGAGTCTGTCACTTTCTGCTCTTGCTTTGCAGAATGCTTCAGTGGAATTCAAGTTGATGCATAAAATTCAATTTTTGCTGACTGTTTAGAAGTGAGCAATTTTTAGAGACATAGTAAAACAAAACAGATTTATTCTGGGTGTTAACCTCCAGCAGACAATTGAAAAGGAAGTAGCAGATGTTCCTGTGTACACAGGTTAGAAGGTAGCATAGCTATTTGTACAAGAGCAAGACTTAACTGTGTAGTGATAATGAATCCTCAGTACTTGTAAAAATGTAATCTTTTCAAATGTACAAATAAGTCTTTTCCAAGGCTTGTTTAAAAATGTCAAAATCTTCCTTTGCATTAAGGCTGCACGGTGTGACTGTTGTAAGTCCCAAGGCACTCTCAAAGAGAAGGTGCAGTGGCGTGGTGAAATGAAGCACTTCTGCGACCAGCACTGTTTGCTCCGGTTCTACTGTCAGCAGAATGAACCAAACCTGGCAACCCAAAAAGGACCTGAGAACTTACACTATGGTATGTGCTGCCAAAGAGATGCTTCCTTTAAATGAAAAATTGAAAGCTGCATGAATTATTTATTTGTTGTAATAAATTGCAGTAGAGATTATCCTTTTTTTATGTTGTCATCAGAGGCATCATTGAGCTGGTTTGGGTTAAGTGTAATTTTAGTGTTGTATCATCATGGGAACAGAAAATGATTTCCTCTTTCATTGTGCTCCAGTTTGTCATTACTTGCTCTGTGGAAACACTGCTGAAAATGCTGTTTGGTCACAGAGATCAGATAAATGCACTAGGAATGAAAAAAAGAGAAATAAATTAAATTGAATTAAAGGGAAAGAAATGAAGCATAAATGAAATGAGAATTGAATGAAAGTATCTAGATAAGAGGAATATATTGCTTTTTTTTTCCTCTCCTTTCTGTTGGCAGTAGGTATGTGTAAATTTGCTGATGGGCACTGAATGCATGTTTGCTCGGTTTAAATAGCATGTCAAACAAAGTTCAAATAGATCAGCTTTTAAATTAATGTAATTATCACAACACAACTTCTTTGTATAGACATTTTCATATTTGAACATTTTTGATGATTACTTTTCTGAATGAGGCTGTATTCACATCGGGCTAGAGCATTGATTTAGCATTTGCCTTTGTGTAAGACTCAATACCAGAGTAGTGAGTTGCTTGTGAAGGAGAAGTCTTGCATGCAGTTCTCACCTGTGATATGGTGCTAATCAGTGCTCTTAATTTAGTGTTTTATTGATGGTAGATCATTGTCTGAGTTACTTACTGAAATTTGCTTTGATTTTGAAAAAGAAAAAACAAAATTGTAAAAAAATGTTTCCTTATACTTTTAGATCAGGGCTGTCAAACCCCCCGGACAAAAATAACTGTAAGTACATATATTGAACACACACACATATATAACATAATTACATGTATTTAAAATGTGAGGTCCTGGTGGCTTAAGGGGATGCTATTTAAAAAAACCCAAAAATTAGTCTCTTTGAATGATACTAAGCTAAACGTATGGAGGTTTTTTAGTGTTTTTTTCATCAGTAGTTGAAGTAAAAATGTAAAATGTTCATAGTTTGTCCTTCCAGTGTCTTCTGGGAAGCTAAATTATCAGCTGTGTGTTTCACATCTATAGTGCATGCAAGTATTACTTAAAGGTTAATCAACAAACTCTGTATTTTATTCACAAGTTTAGACTGATTAGGTGTATTTATTTAGCATAGAAAGGCAAGAGAATTTCATGGGCCGATTTCAATATTAAGGTTGTAGCTCAGCTTTGAAAGGCCTCTGACACTAAATTTTATCATTCCCAAGAGTGGAATGCTCTAGGTGCTCAAGGTCTGATTGACTTTGCTGTAGGTGACAGAGTAGGGAAGCATAATCTTCTGCAGGATCGCTGTGTGGGAGGCTGGGGATCATCAGTGGAGCAGCAGACATTACTCTGAGCTTCAGTTTTTGTCAGCTTGTCAAAAATATTATTAATAATATTGTCTTCAGTTAGCTTAGTGCATGTTGTTTGAAACTTAGTTCTGTTTTGATTTGTTTGTCACATGGAAGGTCTCAGAACTGCCTGCTTTTTCCATGGGAAAAATTGACTCACCTTTTAAATGCAAATAGGTATTAAAGATAAATCTTAGATGTAAGTGAAGGTGTTTTGATAGCATTATAAATGTATTTATGAAAAACAGAATATAAGATTGCTTAGGTAACTAGAGACATCAGACAAGCTAAACTGTCATGTTAAAAACTTGTAGTAGTTTATGTTTAATGATGTTAATTCAGTCCATAAATTTTTAAAGGCCATGGCAAAGCTATGTGTGATACAGGACTGTATTTTAGCAAGTGTACACCTGTTAAAAGTGTACTGCTGTTCTTGGCACCTGACTTGCTTTCCATATTTAAAAGCCATGCCATGTTAGTCTTCCTACATATGTCCCCCAAAAAAATGGAGAGTGCGTTACTTAAATCAGGTTCTAAAACAGGTTCTAAGGTACAAAACCCATGTCTGGAACAAAAGGGGTATTTACGTCTTGACTGTGATGACAGTGTTCGAGCATTATGGGATGTCCCCGGGTACTTGTTGCTATCGCAGAGCCAGCAGGGGGAGCTCCGAGTTCATGCTTTAGGTACTAAGATACTGTTTAGAGAATTTTTATTCAGAAATACTTTTTTTTTTAAATGTCATCTTTGTATTATAGCATAATTCAAGAAGGCTAGACCACGAGCCAAAAGTTTGTTATGCTTCCTGTAGTGAATTCTTTTTGCAGCTAAAATTATTTCTTGTACTATAAAATTGCTTAAATTGTGCTTTTAGAGTGTCTTAAATTAAAGGAAAAAAAAAAAGTAAGATGAGCCAGAAGTCATTACTCATAGTGCTAGACCTGACTGTGTAAAATACAACTAATGTTGCATTCCTGGCAGTGGCAGCTCATTACTGGGAATGTAGAATAGATTGCAGTTACAGAACAGTGGTTGGTGCTGTTGTGTTGTGCTTTTGTGAGCTTCCTCTTCAGTATCTCATTTATGAAAAGTATGAACTGATACATTAAGTCGAGAACTTTGTGTTGGAATCAGTGCAGTGCAACAGCACATTCTCTTATTTGCTTGTTTGCAGGGCTCAGCACCACCACCTTCTCCAACACCTAACAGAGAAATGAAGAACAAAGCAGTTCTTTGCAAGCCTTTGACAATGACAAAAGCCACATACTGTAAACCTCATATGCAGACAAAGTCTTGTCAGACAGGTAACTCCTGAACTGTGCTGGAACCTCAGCTCTTACTGTCTTTGAACATATTGTAATTATTCTGATTTTTGTCACCAAACTGCAAGTATAAAATGTATTTAAATGTCTGGCAATGTTTGCCTTTTTATTTTTTCTTTTAACAGAAGATGATTGGAAAAAAGAATACATCCCAGTGCCTATTCCTGTACCTGTCTACGTTCCGGTGCCTATGAACATGTATAGTCAAAATGTTCCTGTTCCTACAACCGTACCTGTTCCTGTAAGTGAGACTTCAGCTTCATTTTAAAATTGGCATCCATACACCTGCATGTGTGGGACCACTTCATATTATTGGCTCTTATCATTTACTGTTGATGCTTCGTTACAACATTTTTTTCTTTTCTAAGTATCTCTGCCTCCCTGTCTGCACAGGTGCCAGTTCCAGTTTTTTTGCCCACTACTCTGGATAGCAGTGAGAAAATCCTTGCAGCAATAGAAGAACTGAGGGAAAAAGTGCCCTCAAATCCTCTGGAAACTGAGCTAATGAATTTGTCAGGGATGGTACCTGAACATGTTGGAAAAGCCGAAGATTCTGATGTGGCCGGTGAGTTTCCTGATGAGTTTTTGACTCTTTAGAGTGCTTGGTGGGGAGGGGACAGGTGTGAATCAAGAAAATGGTTGGGTTTGGATTTTTCTATTTTAGGGAAAGTTTGAGTACAACATTGCTGTTACTGAGATCTTATATTAAGTTGCATTGTGGTTTAACCCCAGATTGCAACCAAGTACCTGGTAGGGAGGAGAGTTGGAAAAAAAGTAAACTTTGTTTATATACTGAACATGACATACTTTGGTATGGAATATCCCTTTGGACACTTCAGCTCAGCTGTTCAGACCCTGCTTGCTCTCTGCTTCTTGTGCACCTGCTCTCTGGCAAAGCATGGGAAAATGAAAAGTTCTGGATTTAGACAAAGCACTACTGGCAACAACCAAAGCATCAGTGTGTTATCTACGTTATTCTCGTAATAAATGCAAACTACAGCACTGTACCAGCTACTAAGAAGAAAATTAACTAGCTCAGCCCAAATCAAGACAATTGAAATCTTAATAATTTAAATATTTTTAAAGATCATTTTACCACATTGAAATACAGAAAACTTTCTGAAGTCTGTTGAGGGACTTCAGTGTGCTGTACCCAACCTTTGTCTTTAAAACCACAGCATTCCCTTTGCTTGTGGCTCCCTGGCTCATGGCAAACAGTCATCCAGGATTGCACATACATATGTCTTACACGTGTGAATGCAAGGTGGGAGAGTAGTGAGATGCTGGCACAGGTTGCCCAGAGAAGCTGTGGATGCCCCATCCCTGGAAGTGTTCAAAGCCAGGTTGGATGGAGCTTTGAGCAACCTGGTCTAGTGAAAGGTGTCCCTGCCCATGGCAGGGCAGGGTGGACATAGGTGGTCCTTAAGGGCCCTTCCAACCCAAACCATTCCATGATACAACAGGGGGCTGATCTCCTGGTAGTAGCACATTCCTATGTACATTTTATGTTGAGTGTAGGAAAGTGGGGACTGTTAAAATTAAGAGAAACATAACATTTCACAAGTAAAACTGTGGTCAACAAGACCAGGTGACCTAATGATGTTTTTGCCCTTGTCTGATCCTGACCTGGATGTATCATCTCTTTGAAGATAGTAATCAGTTCATTGGGGCTGTGATGCTGAAGTGGCTTATCATTCCACCAGCTCACCTAAAAGGAGAGAACTGTCTGTGACAGCTTTATAGCTGAAGATCAAAAAAATCCCATATATTCTGTAATTATATTATCTCAGTACACATGTCTCTTTGCTCTTCTTTCCTGGCTCTGCCTGCCAAAATCCTCAAGTTTCTTCTGTATCTTTCCCGGAAAATTTGCCATCTTTTTCAAAATCTAGATTTTAAGGTTTTTCCATGACTCAGGTGAAATTTTGGTGTTTCTTTTCAAGCTCTTTCAACAGATATCTGAAAGGATGTTGATAAATCACATGAACTCACACTTTGTGCTTGCTGTATAGGAGGCCAGTGGAGTTGTAGGCCCGGGAGACTTACTGCTTTCCAAACTATTGTCATTCTCCTACTAAAACTGCATGCATAGTTCTTGTAGTGCAAGGTTGTAATTTGCAGTTCCTTGCTCTCTTTTGTGAAGTACAGCTAGCCAAATGCATAGGTGTATGGCATCAGAGCTTGCTCATTTGCAGAGGACTGAATTTGGAGAAATCTCTTTTGGCCAGAAGTTGGAAGTCAAGCTTTGTTTCTCCGTGCCATCTTGCCTTGTTTGTGAAACAGATCCTACAAACGCAGACTTGCAAGTCTGTTCTGTTGCGATGGAATCAGGTAGAAAAATAGACAGTTATGTTTATCAAGCTTGTTTGAGTTCTGTGGTTGGGTTAGTATCTTTTATGTTCGAAGGAAATCAGATTGGAGAAGTAAATCCAAGATCCTGAGAACGACAAACCTAGGATGATGATGAGCACAACAAGCAGCTTTACAACCACTCAGCCTCTGAAGTTCTAAATCTGCCCTGATTTGGCTAATCCATGTGTTGGTTAAAATAACACGAGTTTTTCCTTTTTTTTTGAACAGGTGTGATAGTTGAGTCAAATCTACTGAACTCAGAAACAGAGGTACAGGCAAGCTTGCCTGATGTTCCATATGAGCCAGACCTTGATATTGAGATAGACTTTCCAAGAGGTAATTTTTCCATGATTTTAATAAATACTGTGACATTGTGGGCAACCATTGTACCTTGTTTAATCATCCTTTCAGAGGAGCTTTATTTGATTGCAGGATCCACTTGACTGACTGTTAGGTAAAACTTTGCCATGTCTTTGCAAGACTGGTGACTTCTGAATTAGTTCCTCCGTCTTTCTAAATGTGGTATTTGAGACAACGCAAAGAAAAGGGGAAGTTAACCTTTCATAAACAACTTGGCTGCATCATCTGGTTTGAACATGGATTTAGGAAAGCTATTTTGAAGGCTCAAGGACTCAGATGGCATGTGTCATGGAAAACATAATGAATGCATTCTTCAAACACTAGGTACTTCCATGGTCTAGAGCAGAAATGACAAAGGCAAATTTCCTACTCAAGCTTGTTAGAAAATGGCAATTTGGCATGCTGCATATTGCTTGTGTTACCTTTTAATACCTTGTCAGCATCCATATCTGTGTTTAAAACGGTAGTGTTATTTGAATTAGCAGAAAAATTGTTACTTTGAGTCCTTTCTTGAAAGAAACTATTTTATATAGTGAAATTTCAACCACTCTACAGAATGCAGGGAACAGTGTGATTCCTTATACCACGTCTTGATCAATCCAAGATCCAAGAAAGCTCCTGGCCATAGTTAGTATCTCTCTTGACATAGCTTCTCTTGGACATGCAACTCTCATACCTGACCTGAGTAGCTTCTGTATCTGCTGTTGACAGTCTGCTTTTGCGTTGTGCCATAGTCAGCCGCAGTAGATGCCCAGACTGGGTTTCTCAATTTGCTCGATGTCTAATTTAAAGACAAAGCCCAGGGATTGGTTTCACCTTAGTCTTAGGAAGTTTACTAGTCAGATGCATACTAAATGTTTAGCCCTCCTTATAAGTGAAGCTTGATACATGAGAAAGAAGAACCATGGAAGAAAAGAAATAGTCAAACTTGAATAGTAGGTAATAGCATGTTTGTAAGAGGTAACTGATTACACTGAAGTTTCTTGAGATAAGATTCTTTGTGGTAGCAGGAGGACTGCTGTGTAGTCTGGGGCAGAGTTCTTAAGTCTTTGCATGTGAGTGCTCTTTCATCTGTACCAGTTTGAAAGGTGTTTCGAGAAATAAGGTGGTGGAATCAGACTATCAAAAGAGCATTCAATTCTGAGCGAAGACACTGTTCAATGGCTAAATAAGGGATGAACCATCTTCAGTAAAATAAACAAAGGTGGAACTTGCAGCATCGAATCATTCATATGTTATCTCATTCCTCTGCATTGCCTGAAATAGAGTCCTTAATCCTACCCCCGAAACGCTAAATAAAGAGTATTTTGATGTATTGCCATGCACTGCTTACCAAACTTACTGTAATAGCCATCATGAGCTCGACCTCTACCACTTGTATAACTATAGACTAAACCCAGTTTCTCTGAAGGAGTTTGCCTTCTGATTCTTAATATTTTTAACCAAGTATAATGTGCTATATAAAATAAAAAGCATGAATAGAAATGATGGAAATGCGAGAACAAAAGTGCATGTACAAAGTTCATTTGTATTTGTTCCAGTCAGAGCTGCTCATTCTCACTGTAACTTAAAACTTCTTGATACCAATGACAGCCTGGGCAGGAAAACTTACGTAAGAGTCCACAGTAAGAAAAGCTGCCTTAGTGACTTAAGATAATGCTTGAAAATGTTGAGCAGTGTGTCCTCTGCAATTTATTTAGAAATAAACATTTTGACAGCGTGTCTTACATTGAATATATAGGTTTGGTTCCTCTCACCAAAATCCAGTCTTGGGTAATGTTTATATGTGTGCCTTATGTTAATGCACACTGATATAGTTCATTGGTTTTTTCAAAGCAGTATTCAAAATATGTTTAGAAATAAGTTTCTGTTAATGTATTTTCAGCAACTGAGGAGCTTGATACAGAAAACGAGTTTTTGTTACCTCCTGTTTTTGGTGAAGAATATGAGGAACAGCCAAGGCCTCGGTCCAAGAAGAAGGTAACTGTCATGCTATTAAAAATATCAAAAAAGCACAAAATACGTGGAGAAAAAATATGCCAGTTTCTTGGGGTTTTTTCTCATACTTCTCTAAAATGTGTTGCTGTCTATTCATACCTAATATCCTGTCTTTATGATGTAAATTGATATATTTCAAATAATGAAATTATTTTGGCCCTATATCTGTTGCAGATAACTGCTGGATTTAATAGAAGTGTGATTTGTAAATTCTGCTCCCATTTTTGCTAGTAATGCTTTTCTACCTTCTACTTTGAACAAAGCTGTCTCTGTTTAATTTGGTAGCAAAATGGAAGAATGTTGGCATTACCATGGCTTATAATGGGAGTTACAGCATCTCCTATATAAAAGAGGGTTTTTAAAAGAAAATAATTTTATTTGCTTGTAATTTTCCCAGATTTTATTTTCAGTCAAAAATCTTAGTTTAAGCATTGCAAATAAATTAGCCATAGTCTTTTATTTAGAAGGACACTAAGAGGAAAGAGTTTCCTGTGCCTGGCATGTAGCTGAAATGGTTTTGTTCCAATAACTGCAGTAGATATTGCAGCTTAAAAATACCCAGCCAACTTTTAGTAAAGCTTTCCAAGAATAAATGTCTTTCTAGTATTAAATTTTTAGTCTAAACTGTTAATATTATCCACTGGACATAATCTACATATGCACCTTTGGACATGCTTTAATTTGGGATCAGTGCTGGCTGTTCCATTGATGGGTTCAGTTGAGCCTGAAGTTGAGCTTGTGACATAGATTTGTTTCCTGTGCACACAGGAAAATTCCCATTGCACACAGTGAAATCCTATAAATGAATTATTTGGTACATCATATATTTGCTGCTTAATACGATAAAACCAACAGAGCAACTCCATTGTCAAAAATTGCTCTGTCTGTGTTTGGAATCAGTTTCAAAGGCAGATTAGAAACATCTGTCAGCTCAGGTAGATACTGTCCTTAGAAGAATGATCAACACAGAAACCACATACGGAATTAATTTTTTTACACTGAATGTTCAGTTTGTCTTTTGGCCTGTAGCTTGCTCTGCCCCAGATGTGTATTACTGCTGTCAGTGACTACTGGTGGTGTTAACCACTGTGTTTCAATCGCAGGGAGTGAAGAGGAAAGCAGTGTCTGAATACCAGTCACATGATGACAGCTCTGAGAACTCGGAGTGTAGTTTCCCATTCAAGTATGCCTATGGTGTAAATGCATGGAAGCACTGGGTAAAGTCTCGGTATTTAGATGAAGAGCTCCCAGAATTAGAGGAACTGAAATCAAGTAAGTATTTCCAAAAATCTGGCTGAGAAGATTTCACCACAGAGTTACCATCAAGTAAGTATTTCCAAAAATCTGGCATCCAGATTCTTGTTTGGTACAGAAAATTGCTGTACTCTTGTGGTTCTCAGCTGAAATTTTAATAGAAGTTCTCCCTTGTCCCTAACGTTCCCACAATGGCTGAGAAGATTTCACCACAGAGTTACCAAGCTCTTTTTTTTTTTTTTTTTTTTTTTTAGTTTTCCCTATTTAGTTCAACATGCTGGGTCTCAATCTTAGCATGCAAGCTAGGACAGCACCTTCCTGGCTCTTATGACTTCCTGTGACCGTTTTGATTTTTTTGTTTGCATCCTATTTTTCCTCATATTCTAACTCACCTTGGAGTTCACACCATTTCTGGACTTGTGAATTGCAAGGGAGACACATCCTACTCTTTGTCCTGCAATACAGTCTTCAACTGAGGCCTGCATTACGTGGCTGGGGAGTTCTGACATGAGGTGACCTTCATTCCTGGGGAGCTTTGCTGCTCTTTTTACAACACTCCTCTCTCTGTACATTTGTACTGTGGGGGGAAAGGGGAATTGCTGCCACTGCTGCTGTTCTTCAGCTCCCACACGCCTCTTGGCACCTTCATGATATGCTGTTGGATCTTTGGAAACTGTCATTTCCCCTGAAGATGCCCCTCTACATCAGTGTCTTCCCTTCAGCATCTTAGGGTGCTTCTGTGTCATCCTCAGCACATTCATTAGCAAGTGTTACTGCATTTGATTATCTGAACATTACTCTGGTAGCATTGTTTATTTTAATACAGACCTAACATTTAAACTGCTTAGTACATTTTAGTCGTGTTCATTGGTTTGTGGAGAGACATCAAGCCAGTTTCCCACTTTACAGTCAAAAAATACCCCATCCCACCCTCCCTGTGTGATAATTCTGTTGTATAATGTAGCATTTTTTCTCTATTTTACAGTAAAGTCTGTGAAATTAAAGGAAGATCTATTAGCACATACTTCAGCTGAGTTAAACTATGGGTTGACACATTTTGTCAATGAAATTCGGAGGCCAAATGGAGAGAACTATGCACCTGACAGCATCTATTATCTGTGTCTTGGGATTCAGGAGGTTAGTAGAGGTTGTAGAGTTGGGAAATGGGTCTGCTGATTTGACTGTAACCCATTTTAGTGGAAGAATGGACATAATGTGGATTTACTGGCTAGGAGCTATTCTTACTCTAATGCCTATGATATGGAACACAGAGAAAGTGCTGTGTAAATCCCATTGTAGAAGGATGTCTGTGTAGGAAATGAGTTTGGAGACCTGTCTTGAAAACTCAAATACAGATCGGTATATTGTAATAATTTTAAGCTTCTTACTGGGTTAAACCATGTGATTAGCAGTAAAAATGACCTTGGTTTTTCAAATACTTTGATTCATTTTGTTTCCTAAAGATGTCTAATGTAAAAACAGAATGAAACAAGGCATGGTCTGTAAACGTTTTACTAATACTCAGTTCCTTAGCATTATAGTGGAAACAACCTAATTGAAGTGTCTTTTAGGGAGGTCTAATTTACTGAATATTGCAGACTGTGGACAGTCAGGATAGAGTGCAGGAAACTGCTATATTGACAGTCTTAGACACAGCAAGTAGAAGAGAGTCAGGTGAGATGTAATGTATGTGAAGGCAATAACATATCACTAGGTAATTAGAAAAACTGTTCTGCAGCTTGTCTTTTAAGCAGGGGATGTCTTAATTTTTTGTACACAAGGCAAATCATAGATAAAATAAGCAGCATTCAGAGCTGAGAGCACAGAAAATTTCATCCAAGTTAAAAGACAATAAAAAATGCCCATGATATGGAAAGCAAGCTGTTTGCAGGGTTTGCAATCACCCTGAAACTGTTCCATTCTTGAGACAGAGGGCTTGAATCAAATAGCAAATTTTTAAATTGAAACGTTTTTAAAATAAATAGTATCTCCACTAATTTTTCTGTGTCGCAAGTCTGCAAAATTAAGGAGTTGATATTTTTACCTCATGGTTGAAATGCGTGAAGTGAATGTGCCTTTTAGTCAATATTGCTAGGAGGTGTTTTTCATATTCAGCTTTCTGCTTCTGCACTTGCATGATACACTTTTTTTTTGAACTGAAAATACTCATGTTAAGCAGATAAACAATACACAGAGTGAGGTATGTGTTTATAAAATGGAATTTGAGTAATATTTTTATGTTTTTTGCATTTCTCTTTGTGCCTTTGACATTGTCTGTTTTGTCAGCCATGAAAGCTAGTTATGTGTAAAACTCTTATTTTTTTTTAGCTCTTTAAAAACCACAGTTTGTGTGACACAACACAATTGTCGTGAGCCCTAATACACATACAGAATGCTGGAACATTAGTGGAACAACTTGTGGTAATTTTACTGTAACTATTGCTTACTTGGTGTCCAGTATTGAATTCAGGTGATGTTAACATCCCTGACTTGTTGGCCACTGCTGTTCAGACTGGTAGGAAGATGTGCCCTGTTCTGAGGAGTTTGCATTTCACAAAGGCAGACAGCATGTGAGGGACGGGAGCATGTGAGCATCATCATCTGTGTGCTAATGGCAAATTGTATGTATTGGCCAGGGGTGTTACCCTTAGGAAGAAACGTGTTTAAACAAGTTAGCGATACACTAAATGCAATGTAGTTGTTTTAATGTACAACAAAACTCCATTACCTTCTATAATTTTCTTAGTTCTTTCCATCTGACAACCCTCATGTGGGTACCTCTGGAAGAAAAAAATTGTCTGCCACTGCATAAAAGGTATTGGCTTTGTTTAACTTGGAAGGGGCTCAGAGGAGATTAAATGATGCTAGTTAAGGATAAAGTTGTGCCAGAGATCATCAATATTTTGCTAACTTAAAGTAAGTTTCTTTTCAAAGGAAGAGAATGTAGAAAACATAGGTTAGTAAAAAAGTACTTTTCCTCTTCACCAGAATTACTGCACTCATTGTGGCTAAACACGTGCTCAGGTTGGAGCTTTTCCTCATGGGTGTAATGTGGTTTGAGCACAGGGGAAATGCACAGGAGTCTTCAAGTCCTAAGCTGGGTGTTTTTGATTTTGTAAAATAACTTTTTCTTAAAGGAAGCATTGTAAAATCTGTTCCAGGTCTCTGGTCCCTGAGCTTCTCAGTTCAGGTTCATTTGCAGGTGAAATTGTTTTTCTTTCAGCCAGAAATGATTCAGTTGTGGTCTTGATAACTCTGAAGTAGTGATCCTGAAAAATATCACACAAGTAAAGATTGCTGCATGGTCAGGCAGGCATCTAGTGGAGAGGATTCATCTAGAAGAAGGTGTTGGCCTGCCATGCTCCTCTGCTGCATCATGGCTTTCATTCTTTGTCCCAGTATAGATTGAGAGCTGGGGTTTGGATTTTTTTGTTTTCTTTGCATGTCTGGTAATGGGGTTGTTTGGGCAAAATTCAGGCTGATAGAGCTTGGCAGATGTTTGTCTGAAGGTGCTGTGGGCTGTGATTCAGCCTGTTTGCCGCCGTGGGAGTCGGGCACGTCCAGTTCCTTCCTGTTCACTGTGGTTACAGTAGAGCTCATCTCAGGTGGGAACAGCTTATGGTAATCCTGCCCCCATCAGAGTTCCTAGAGTAGAGGAGCACAGCATTATGGTGTGGGAATAAAGGTTTACAGATGCATGTTGGGTGTTGTGTAGCAGGAGAGACTGAAAACACGACATAATTCTTCTGCAGGCTCTGTGGTGCTGGTGGTCCAGGGTGCTCCACAGATTTCTAATGGGAATTTCAGACTTCAGCCAAACACTTATTCTGAACCAGCAAACAGAAGTATTTGTAGTTGACCTCTTACAGGCTTGCGTGTGATTTGGTTTTGAACCAGTTTTCAGTCTTATCTCATTTTTATTGCCAGCATTCAGTGCAAATGTTTAATACAAACCAGAGAAAAAGAAAAATCAATGGAGGAAAAATGTGCCAGAGAACAGAGGGACAAACCCCATGAGGCTTATAGGAAGCTGTATTGTCTCATTTAGCACTGGTTTGTAGAATCAAAGCTGGTATATGTAGAAACAAGCACATTTGGGGGAACATGGTGCTCTGCAGAATTAGTTAAACATATCATATAAAATAGTTATCTATATTAAGATGGTGTGTTGGAGACATCTAGGAAGTGTAATCATTCATTTTTCCGTATCATGAAACTAAGTGCAAAGATAAGGAAGCCAAGATATGCTGGACCATGACCACCTAGTATAAATGAGTGCTGTGTTCAATGTTATTTCAAGTATGTGTACAGAAATAGATGCCATTTCCAGAAGTGAGTACATTTTTTGTCTGTCACTAACAACAGGCTTGTTCATGCAAAGATAACACTGGAGCAGAAAATTTAAGAAGCCAGTCCTCCGTTTCTTAGAAATGTCTCTAGAGAGGGTGATGTCAAATACTAGTGTAGCCCTCAGCCATTAATTCTTGGGAAAGGTTCAAAAGAATTTCTGTCTGTAAGGTCAAGAGGGTTAAGCAAATTAGATTGCAAAATAGGCAGGCGCCTTGCACCTTCCTGGCATTTTTCTTGCACTGCTGCATATCATTACCACAAATACATGGGGTGGTTTTGCTCCCACTTTTGTGTTGAAGATGCCTTTGTCACTGGACAGAGTTCACATGTTAAATGGCAGACTCTTAGTAAATGTGTTTTGGATTTTCCTTTGAAGACCTAGGTGGAGGAAAAGTTAAATTAGTTGTTTGAGGATTGTTTGGGTTTTTTAAAATGACTCCCCATTCACTGAAATGATATTGCACACAGAGAATCTTAGAGGAAAGATGTTAGCATTGTAATTAAACTATGATTCATATCCAGTTAGAAATTTACAACATACATTATATTGCAGGTAACTTCTATTGGAAAAGTGGCATAACTTTAGTTTTAGATACTGTTTTTTTAATAAGTGCACAAGCATTGTACTGAAAAAGAACCTTATAGCACAGAAGTTTTTCTCATCTGGAATCATAAATGCTATGTCTCTCTTTTCTGTAGTATTTATATGGAAGTAATCGAAAAGACAACATATTTATTGATCCAGTCTACCAGACGTTTGAACAGGAATTAAATAAAATCCTTCGAAGTTGGCAGCCAAGCATACTTCCAGATGGTAATTGTCTTTTTGGTCACGTATGTTTTTCATCTCTTAATAGTTCTATATTGTTAAGCATGTAGATATATAAAATAATTGTATGCATTGCAATAGTAATTGATGAAGAATCATAAAGATGCCATCTGAGATTTCAGTTTAGACTGTACCTGTTCTTACTGTCTTGTTTCTGGGTAATCCATGCTATGAGGGTTGATCTTGCTGCTGCCTATTAAACTTCAAAATGGCTATCCATTTTTAGGAGGAAAAGTTAGAATAAGCTCTTTTGACCTGTAGTTTTTACCTGAGCTGAATTTATTTTTTTGCTTATTTTCTTCCCAGGTGAGAGCAGGCAGGAAAGCCTTGGGCTATGTGTGGGTAGGGCTAACAAGTGATATGTTTTAGCCTTTATTAGCTGGATTAGGAGGACTCTCTGCTATGGGTCTTCTGCTCAAGAGGATTGTTACTTCATGGAGAAAGCAAATTTTCCCCAGCAGATCGATGTTGGTGCTGAACTGCAGAATCAACTGTTCTCCCATCTTTCCCACAATCCTCTCTTGAGTGAGAGCTTGTCCTTGCCAGACCCTGTCTTCTCTCATCTCAGTATTGGCATCTCTCTGTATGGCTCTGGAGAGCCTCTGTGTTGGGCCTTCCCTGTACCCTGTTACGATCCAGGAGTGGTTTTCAGTTGACATTTCACATGACGTATCCATTAATAATAAGAAAGAAGTTGTTACGCTATTTGGAGGCCTTTCCTGAGCAGGATAAAATGAACTCAAAAATATGCTTTTTATGAGGGAATTAAGATTAACCCCTTGAATGTTTTTTTTAAATGTAATAACACAAGGGAGCTGCATGTCAGCAGTGCTGCTGTAATTAAACAAAAGTGTGTTCTCTGTGAAATTGCCAGTACTGCTATTTCCCTATGGCTGTCTCAGTGAATGTCTCTAAGAGGTGGTTTTGGGGTGTGGGTATACAATTAAATTGGCTTATCAGAGGCTTCTGTCAGGAACATTTTGTTACATTTTACAGTACACATGGACTTGATTGTTTTGCACCTGGGTAATTTATGGGCTAATCCATTGTGCTTTTTCTAATATTCCTTCTTTTTTCCAGGATCAATATTCTCTCGAGTTGAAGAAGATTACCTTTGGAGGATTAAACAGCTAGGATCACATTCACCAGTTGCTCTTCTGAATACTCTGTTCTACTTCAACACTAAATATTTTGGCCTGAAAACAGTGGAGCAACATTTAAGACTTTCTTTTGGCACTGTTTTTAGACAGTGGAAAAAAAATCCTCTAACAATGGAAAGCAAAGCTTGTCTTCGATATCAAGTGTCTTCCCTGTGCAGAGCTGATAGTGAAGGTACTATGGTAGTTCAAAGTTACTATTGCAGGAGCATCCAAATGGTGCTCCTCTAAGGGACATCTGGGCACCTTTTCAGGAGCCAGAGTTCTGCCTTTGCATAAAGTTTAGCAACTCTCAGCTCCCAGATCTTTAATTGGAGAGTGTAGTCTACGGAGACTACAGGATCTCTGCGTTAAATGATCCCTTTGAGCCCACTGGTCTCCATGCTAAATGCTGTGACTTTGCTGTGGCTGTGAGTGGCATTTCCAGTTTGCAAATGTGCATAGTTGTGGGGACAGCCCACACTGATAGGATTACTGAAAAATGTAAAATAGCTTCATGTTACAGCTTAGATGTTGTTGATTTTCTTCTTAAAGATAAAATTACTACTGGAAAAAGGAAACATGAAGATGATGAACCAGTATTTGAACAAATTGAAAACACGTCTGATCCAGCTAGATGCCCTGTGAAAATGTTTGAGTGCTATCTGTCTAAAAGGTAAGTATAATATGGGGTAATACAGAAGGAAATTAGAGTAAACCAGGCCCAAAAGGAACTGTTTTGATGCAGCATCAAATGTGCTTAAGCGAAGGGAATGGACTGAGATCTTCTGAAAAATACCTAAGCTTAAGCGAAGGGAATGGACTGAGATCTATAATACCTAAATAAGTGTATTGAAATATCTGGTTCTGTATCTGCACAAGATGTGCAGAAAGTGTGGAAGCAGCAGAGTACTGCAGTGTTAATTGTTGAGGACTCCGTCTGGGAATTAGAATTCAATTCTATTTCCTTAACTGGGAACACCAAGTATCTCTGCAGAGAATTATCAGCAAGGTAAATCTGGTAGGTTTTGCCACTGAGGATTTCATTTGTGAGGTCCCTGTCTCTTCAGGAAGAACTGGATTGAGACAGTGGCTTTGCTTCATTCAAAGTTACCAGGAATCTGAAATGTAGATGCTTTGGAGATACCTAGTGTGAAGACATGTTTAAAATACTTTGTAGTAGGAAAAATGCTACTGATGGTAACCCAGCATTTAGAAATAGCTTGTTTCCTTTCAGTCTGCACAGAAGTTAATAAATTTTAAAAAAACCTAAAACTTAGACAACTCTTAGAAAAACAATTTAGTAGCTAAGTGTTTTGGAAGCTTGAAGACAGGATTTCTTGGGAAATACTTTGCCTTAATTGTAACAACCATTTAAGTTGACTGCCTGTAATGTGGATTTTATGTAACTCTAAGGGAAATACAGGCAAGTGATACCAAAGAAATAACATCACCTTGTATATACAACACAATAAATCAAATTAAGTATGAGACACAACATGTGTTAGAAAACAGCATCTTAGTCTTACAGGTGAAGAAAAAGCTCACACACAGCACCAGCAAAAGTGCAAGTATGTGATGTTAGAGAGAGGAACAAGTAAAGAGTGGCTTGAGGTCTGATAATGCAACCACCTGTTTTTCATAAACTCAGTCAATTCTGATTGTTGCAGGGAGATTTTGCCTGCCACAAATGGGGAGGAGAGGATGTGTTATTAAAAAGCTGAAGTTGGGTTTTTGAACTGAGTTACACAGCCAGTAGGGGAGAGAGGACATATAATTTTTGTTTGTTTGTTTATTTAGAAACATCTCAACTTTGGGGAAAAGAAAGCACTTAAACCCATTTGGAGCATCATTTCAAGTCATGCTGTCTTGCAGATGTTGGTCACCGTTGTTAGCTAAAGCAGCAGGCTGCTTCTCCTGCTTCTGATAACACACACCTTGCATCTTTGTTTAAATAATTTTAATCAAGTATTTAACACTTTAAAAACTATTGTAACATTATAGGTAACGCCAGCTGTTTGAAATATACTTGGCACCCAGTGGAGAACTGCAGCCAAAATTTCAGGATACTTTAATTCACAGCTATGAACACTGTGTCATTTCTTGTTCCTGGCTTTTCAAGAAAGTAGGAAGGAGGTTGAAATGTTTAGATTATTAGAATATTTTAAACATATTTTACTTCTCATCTGACTCTTAATCTGATTTATGTGAGAGCAGAACAGACCAATATTCGCCCCAGGAGATGAAAAGCAATACCTGAAATCTTATCATCCAGTTTGGGAAGGTAACCGGGTAAAAATTCTTATTTTTGCTGAAGAAACATGAAATAGAGTTGACTCCTCAAGTCTACAGTATTCATGAAGGAGGGCACATGAGTGAGCATTTGCACATAGAGAATTGAAAATTCTTTCCTGAGACTTGCCTAAATGGACAAACTACTAGAATTTCCTTAAAGAAGTCTTCTCTAGTGGATGTTAGAGGATGTTTCTGAGCTGGGTCAAACTCCATAGTATAGTGGGTAAGGAATTAAAGGTTTGAGATTTGTAATAACTAGCCTTTTACGTAAAACAGGAGGAAGGATTTTAGCTGGTTGTACTTCTGTGCATCTCAGAGCACTGTCCTTGATCTTTCAAGGGAACCCCAGGCTCTACATTCAGAGATAGCCACATCAGCCAGCAGTTGTGCTGATGTCAGTCTTGGGACTCTTTGCAAATCATGGAAGGTACTTTCTGGTTTAGCAAGTCCTGAATCTGCAGGTTTTGAAAGCTGGAAGAGTCTGTGGTCTCTTGTATGCTTGCTAAGTCCCAGGTGTCTGGAACTCCAAGGCTGCTCTGAGGATATGGGACTGGCTGGGCTTGAGCCAGACCTGGTGTAGCTCCTTCTGTGAACAAGACTGCATTTCTCCACTTTTTATGTTGGGTTTTTTTGTGACTTGCCTAGGTACAGTTAGAGTTTTGCTTGTGCAGGATTTTGGAACTGCTAACATACTGTTTTGTCCCATGAGGCTGCTTTTGTAACCCTCTGTTTTCTCTCCCTTGCAGCCCACAGAATCTGAATCAGAGGACAGACATGTTCTACCTGCAACCAGAGTGCTCTGTCTCTGCAGAGTCTCCCATCTGGTACACTGCCACTTCCCTGGACCGCAGCACTTTGGAAAATATGCTCGTACGGGTTCTTTTAGTAAAAGATATTTATGATAAAGACAATTATGAACTGGATGAAGACATAGATTAAAACAAACTTCCAAAACCCATCAAGAAAACAAACAGCATTAGATATAGTCATGCTGCTAGACCTTTACTATGGAAAACATTTCAAGTTTACCCTTCGTTTTATGAGTTTTGTAGCAGTGCGTACCCTCTCCTGGGTATTACCATGTAAATAAATTGTGAGTGAAAGTTTCCATTATTCTGCATAGTGGTTTTAGGAGACATAACAAACACATTTCAGATTCTTTTTTTATTATTTATTTGATTAGGTATGTTTGTAACTTTTTACATTGCAAAATATGAATGAGAATGTGCCATGTGTAATTCCCCCCCCCCCCCCTAGGCACGAGGGATTAACT